CGATTAGGTAGAATCGGTGTCTCCCGTCTTCCAGGTTGGGGTCCGAAAGACTCTCTCTACAACTGGTTGGCTGGAGACATTAAAGGATATGGCGACTGACCGACAGCAGTGGCGCTCTTGTTGTCATTTCTTAACAAGGCAGAATGCTTGAGAAAGGCATACATGGACACTTAGATTGTGTACCGTGTGTTGAACATAGAGGTTCTTTTTCTTTGCCTCCCTCCAAGTAGGCCCAATCCCTCTCGATCTTTATCACTTGCTTTGTGTACATTGTGAGCTTGGCAGCGTTCAGTGAAGCTCGCTTCACTGTATCTCGCTGTACAATGATGATGATGACATACCGTTTCAAGCATTCTGACCTGATAAGAAACGACGACAAGAACGCCACTGTTGTCGGTAAGCTTGCCATATCCTTTAATGTCTCCAACCAACCGGTTGTGGAGTCTTTCGGAACCCAACCTGGAAGGCGAGACAAACCTACTCCACCCAATAGCTTTGTGCATTTCGTTATGCTTAGTCTCTACGTCCCCTGCTGATATCTGTTTTCTACCTCCAGCCAGGAGCGGTTACAGCAAATAAGTATGGTTGACCACAGTTAGACATGCGCGATACGTGCCCTAACCAGCGAAGTCCATTAATCTGAATTCGACGAGGTGGTAAGTTTATCCCTGATAAACTCCAAAACACGACGGCTTACCTCTAGATTAATCACCCATTCGCTCCATCCTACGTAGGCCAAACTGCGTAAACACAGTGAAAACTTCTGGTTGAGAGATATCTTCTACTCTCAAATTCAAGGTCTCACAACTATAAAGCAGAACTGAACGAGCGGTAGCACAATAAACATGACCTTTCAACTTCAGTGAAACGTCAAAGGTGTCTCATTCTTGTATACACTGCTCCAGTCTTGGAAATATGTACGATTATCCCCTTTGCTGCGTCACCGTAATTGCTTAAACAACTACTAAACTAATTCCTGACTATTTTTTTTCATTACACACATGAGTGTGATGAACAACAGATGGGGCGAACCCCATAGACACGTGGACCCACTGCTCAGTGGCGGAAACCAGCAACCTAAGCCCCGAGACTTGGAGTGGCGAACCACATAAGGTCCCAATAGGTTAGGTGTGGTGTTGAACCAGGCGACAAAAGAGCTACCTACCACCAAAGTCGGGTGGTAGTGGCGGGGTTCGAACCTCGAACCATAGGACTCAAAGCACGCCGGTGACAGTGATTAATCGACACCTAGTCTAGCAGCGCTACTTTATACTTTGAAGGTGTAAAGCGCATACCGAAAAAAGTAACTTGTTTAGTTTTCTGTGCTCGTCAGAACGTAAGCCGAGTGGGATACAGGGAAGCTTTCGCACAAAATTATTCAATCGAACAGGTATCGAAATTATGAGCTGGCGAATGAACGATAAAGAAAAGGTGTAACAGACATGTGTGGTTTTGAAGCGTCTGGTGGGCTAAAACCAAACAAATATCAATATGTTAGTGGACAAGTGTTATAAGCAGAATGTCAATTGAGAGGGATGAAACAAGGAGAATAACTTTTAGACCGCGAAGGCCGAGAAAAATGGCAGGAGGTGCACATTGAAGACTGAACATAGAAGTCACTGAAACGGTGAGTGATTACGTAGTTGAAAGGTGTCGAACTTTTTTCAGTCTAAATTCAGCATCTGGAGGTAAAGTTCAAATACTTAATGGAACTAGCTATGGTAGAAAATTCGCATTCAATCAGGCAGGGTTAGCTAGAAATGCATAGCGAAAAAAAATATTCCAAGCACATTTCAGACATTTAAAGTTCTGTTTTAAAGCATCTGCTGATAAATGTTCTATTCCAGAGTAGTGGACCACAGGGCCGCGATAGCAAACAAAGCCTTGTAGTGAACCAGGCTAAAGCAGAACAGTATACCACCAACACCGAGTGAGTTTTGCTACTTGCGAATCATGGAGCGGTGAAACCGATTTCTTCTTCATCCTCATCATCATTTTAACTTCATTTTATTGAATACATAATAAAACAATTCTCAGTAAGGGGAAAGTGGTCCATCGAAGGGTTGTCATACAACACACACAGAACGGAGAAAGTCAGGTGGTGGTGGTAGAATTCGAATACACGTTCTCCCTGAGTGATTATCTGGTGACGTTAC